CATTATTCTAAGAAAGACGCCACTTGGGAAAGAGAAAATGATACGAAGGCAGAGTCCCCTCACCTCTTCGAAGATCTTTCCTAATCTCGAGGACGAGATTCATATTAAGTGGGTAGGTTTGTAACACCTTAAATTTTAAATTTTGCAATTTCCTAAAATTTATTAGAATTTAAATTTAGATTATGTCCAAACAATAGTTGGGGGAAAATAATGTGTTGATAATTAAAATTTATTGTGTTGCATTTATGTCGCTTGCATTATTTTTATTGAGTGGAAAATAATTTATTAGAATTCAATTTAGATACGAATCGGTTTTGCTCTATTTATAAAATAAATTATTTAAAAGTTTATCTAAAAGTAAAGTTCCAAAATTTTATTTCCCAAAAGATAGTTTCAATTTCCAAAAACTCGGAATTGATTTGAAAAGCAAGTTTTGTTTAACAAGGATTTGAGTTTGAGCTTCAAATGAATTTACAAAAAATTAAAAAGGCTAAACTCCCTCTCTCTCACTCCCTGGGTCGAATCCGGCCGTCTTCTCGCTCTCTCGCGCCCACCTCCCCTTCCCATCCTGGGCCGTGGCCCAATCCGGCATGGGAGCCATCCCCTCCACCAGTTTCCCCTCCCTCTCTCTCTTTGTCCACGAGACCGTAGACGTGGTCCACAATGCCAGCGCACCGCGTCCACGCATAGCTGGTGCACCCGGCCAATCACGCAGCGCCATGCGACACACACATCAGCGGTGACGTGGCAAACCCTGACCGTCCCCTAGTCTTTTGTAGAAAGGCCCTCAACGTTTCCGAAATCAACCCACCATCCAAGCCCTATTAAAAAGCATCAGAATCCAGTCCTATTTTCTTCCGTTTCAGCCCCTGCCTTCCCTCATGTTTGTACTCGTAGTCCAATATCCCTTTTAATTCTAGTTTTGTTTGTTTAAAATGCAAAATTAGTTCCTTTTAATTACAATTTTGCCACTGAACTTCAAAAGCCCATAACTTTTGAACCGTAGCCGTTGTAGGTGGTTCTTTGCTCATGAGTTCATATTGACGAGTACTACACGTTAATAAACTTTATATCATGTTTTTCCACTGTTTGGTGTACTGTTCTTTTTATGTTTTGTGGGCCATGTTTGTTGTTTTGTCAGCAGAAGGTGTTGAGTGCGAGAACTTCTAGGATCAGGAGTTCGAAGGCAAGTGTCCTCAACCATACTTGCTCCTACATTTATTTTATTTTGAGTTAGAGTAGTTAGACCATTAATTGCATGCAGAGTCTTAATTTGAATCCTATGATAGGGTTTACTAGCTTTTGTCACATTATCCTTGTAACTCGGTTGGGATGGGTAGAAGTCATGCTTAGCTTTGCTGTCATGGATGGATTGGGAAGGATATAATTTAATATTGATTAAAGGCTTATGCAACATGGGATGGTAATCTTTTTAGCAACATGGTGAGTAGGGAATCTGAGCAAGATGGACGGATTGGTATGATGGTTATTTGGTTTTGGTACATAATAGGGTTCCTTGGGTTGGTGCTCATACCTACTCTAGATTTTAAGGACCGGTTCATGGACAAGTAACCGGGCAAAATAGTGCAACCTAGTCTAGATGGGCTGGATCTGGCTAGGTAGTTAGTTTCTTCCAAGTTATGCTACATCGGGACGGTTTATGTGGCCCAAGAGGGTCCCCTGGGGTCTTTGACTTATGTACGGGGGAGAAACCTTAGAGGTAGGTGTAAAACAGACTTGTTGGGGCTTTGTAAAGGCCTTGTAGTGTGACCCCGCTAAGCACCTAGGTAGTGTGAAGTGTAATGGGGAAAACATGACTCATGGTGAAAGTGTGTAACCTCTGTAAAGTGTAAAACTGATATATTAGTCGTGCTCACGGTCAAGAGCGGGCTTGGACTTGTTCATGATTATATGGCGCTGGTTTTGGTTGGGTGGTTCCCTTGGTAAGGGAACGGGTGGTTCAGTTGGGAGCTTGGATGGAATCCAAGTGTGGTGCTTGGATGGAATCCAAGTGTGGTTTGGTTCTCTGAGGACAAGGTGGAATCTCACTTAGATAAATAGGTGCTTAAGATTTAAGGTAACAGGTGTGTCGCTTAAGTGCTGTGTCAACCTGTATAAGCCTATCCTTGTTTTAAGCCTCATGTCATACTTTTCCTACACTTGCGGAGTACATTTCGATGTACTCACCCTTCCTCTTTGTCCCCCTGCTACCCCACCTAGACGCCGGAGATGATGAGGAGTACATTGAAGACGATGCCTTTGACCCCAACGACATGTTCTAGGCTGGTGTTGCCCCTGGTCAACCTACCTGTGAAGATGGCGTCCATTTCCACTGGAAGCTTAGTAGATTTTCTTTCAGACCCACTGGTCGTTTTTGTAATAATGATTTTGTTATGTAAGCAAATCTACTATAATACTGTAATGAAGTCGACAAATGTATGAATAAATTGATCCTAGCATACATATGTTGTGTATTTGATTTTGGCCTTAAAATCGGGTGTGACAATTGTTGATCTGGTAATCTCTTTGGTGGACATAAGATGTACTTGGAACTAAAGTAAGAGTCTCATGCTCGGTTGTCTTCGTCAATTAATCTATATGCTCTCTCTCATGTCATGTCTCTATCCTTGGACCATGCTCTTTGTCGACTCCTAATCATGTGGCCATCCCTACTTGCCCAACCCGCCTATACGTAATGTTTATCCATCCACGATCTACATATGCCACGTGATTTTTCATTGGTTGTGTGCTCGGTAATGGTGTTATGATAACGATTGACGGTGCCACGCAACACAAGGTATATTTAGGACATTTCTCTCATTCATCTTATCTTTTGCTATGCAGATATTCAAGTTGCAATAGAGGATGCAAGCTGTACAAGCTAAAGCTTAGACATTTGTTTGTTAGTTGTTGCTAGTACAAGGCTTCTAGTATGAAAATTTGCATGCTAGTAGTAGTGAACTCATCCCACTGCACTTTGTGCCATGTTTACTTCTCAATCAAATACGTATTTCCGGGAGGAACTTTGGTCAACATTGTTTTGATTATTGTTGTAGTTCAGGTCACAAAATTGTGGGGATTACAGCTTGACTACACGCATGGCACACTATTTAAGTGGTGCCATGTTTGTACTATTGTTGAACTGATATATAGGTGCTGAAAAATGCTTCTTACTCACAGAATTTGTGTTCATCCTTTATTTTTTTTCCGGTTTATTATTGTGAAAGTTGGGTTCAACATTTCAAGTTTGATCTAGTTGTATCAATGCCTACACTGATGAAAATTGTATCATTGGTTTTTAGTGTACATTGGCTTTCCATATTTCACAGTTATTAGCATAAGTTCTGTGTACTCCCATGCCTTACTAGCTTTTTTTATCGGGAATGCTAGCGCTTGGACATCCGGACAGACGCCCACCTCCGGACGCCCGCGCCTGCTCCCACTCGCTTTCTCCCACCGGTCCCGTCCTCCTGCGCCCGCGCCCGACGCAGCTCCCTCACCCCCAAATCCGGACGCCCTCCTCTCTGCCCTCTTCTTCCCCGTGCTTGATTGCCCCTCTCTAGCCCTCCACCGCTGGTGGCCCCTGCGGCCCACTTTCTCCCCGCGCGATGGTCATCTTCCTCCTTGCCCACCGCCCACCGCCCCGCCGTGGTGGCCTCCACCTTCCCCTCCCCCTCCCACCTCGCCATGGCCATGGGCGCTGGCGAGCACCGCCACGACGCCTTCACCCCATCCAAACCCAGCCGCCTCCACCGTCGCCAGGACCCTAAGCTGCCCGCCCACCATCCCCACCCTGCCTCCCAAAACCCCTTCTAAGCCCGCCGGAGTTGGAGAAGAAGAGGGGAAGAGGTTGGAGAGGGAGGCTGCCGCCGTCATCGTTGCAACCCTAACCGCCGCCATCGTTGTCTTCATCTCTGGTGGGACGCGGGCGCACACGGACGTGGGCACGGGGTCGCATGGGAGCGACGGAGCGCGGAGGTGGCGTCCAAACTCGGTGTCCATCAGGACGCCCGAGTTCCATCATTACCGCCTTTTTTCTATACAGGAAGTAGCCAATGCGAGAGGCAGCCAATCAACAATGAGAAGTGTGCAGCAACATACAAATTAACCAGACTGACCAAGCCAAACCGGACACCGGCAGACTGGAATGAAAAAACAAACCTGTGGAAACCGTGAGTGGACAGGCCTAGTATCTCATGATGATATAGGCTTTAAAACATGTTCTTGCATTTTCAATTTTCAATTTCTCATGTAAAGGTTTGTCTTGTTTGTACATAGGTCATTGAGATACATTTTCTATGGTGCCGATTCCTGCACTTACATGTGTTCATGTCAATGTTTTAAGAATTGCAACTAGATTCTATAAAAGCAACTAGATTCTATAAAATGCGACTTGTTTAATGGTATAACATTCTACAGATTGGTTTATAGGAATGTACGGGTTGGCAACCTCTTAATTTACTTCAAAAAAGCTAACGCAAAACTTGAACGTTAGGTAGCATCATTTCACATGTTCAGGTATTTTCGAAGAAAGCAACCCTCACGGTTGGTTGTACAGAGCAAATACAAATACTAGATAAATAATAACAAATCAAGGTTTGTTGTACACAAAAAGCAACCCTCTACGGCCTAAAAAAACTAACCACCAGAATGCAGTTCGGAAGCTATGGTTTCTTTCATCTCTTTTCCCTCATGACCATTCAAGAACAAACTGTTTCTCGATGTCCCCAGTGACCAAATTATATAAACTGGATAAGCTAGATACTGCACAAGTTTCAAGTATCATGACTTCCCTCAAGTTTGAGCCTGGTTAGCAGCCTTTAATGAAGGAAGATGCTGATTATCAAGTAACCTTGTTTTCAATGGGCTAACTACAACACCTGACAGGCTGGCACATTGACCTTCAAAGCTGTCCGTGATCCACAGAGCTGTAGAGAGCCTCTTGATGCGTCAGGTCATGGTTCCTCATTTATATATGACAAAAAAGGCCTCACTAATTGTCAATGGTACTTCCTTGATGTGTTGTATGTGCTGAATGAATCTGAATCTGATATAGTGAAATCATCGCATCTCCATCTTTCTAGCTGTTGGTGAAGACCCATCTCGCTTGTCCCACCCTCCTCATCATCATCAACAATATTTGTTGGCTTCCACTGATCCACTAGGCTGGAAAGCCTGTTCACACAGTGACACATGTCTGGCCGCTGGTATGGTTCCCGCGCTGTGCAATGGCGAGCAAGATCAGCCACCTCCAGCAAGCTGTTCCAAGATTCAGCATTGAGCTCCAGGGTGTGGTCCAAAAACTTCCTGAACTTCTCTTTGTCAAGCATATTTTTTCGGAAGATTGTTACAAGATGTGTTTCATCCTCGGGTAATGAGTCATCAAGTACTTTCCTTCCCGTAATCATCTCCATTAGTATCACACCGTATGCATACACATCAACTTTTGTAGTGACCTTTCCTGTAGCTGTATACATATCAATAGTATGTTTGTCGATACTATGCCACAAAATGGAACAAATAAACATGACAATGCAAAAACATGGGGAAAAAACAATTGTTCACATACAATTCTCTGCATTTATTTCCAAAAGAATTAATGCTGAAATACCGAATTTGAAGAAAACATACAGAAAAAGGATAAAATTTGAGCTCAAATGAAAAAAAAAATGTCTGGGAAATGACTGAAAAGTCCTCCAGAATTGATTTATGACACCGTCTTTTGAATCTTTGTCCGTCAATAATGGATACATCAAATCAGTTCCAGTCCAATTTTATTTGAGTAAGTTGTCCTAATTGTATTCCAATGTACTAAATGGTGCAAAACCACGTCACTGTTTAGTAGGAATAACAGAACTAAGGTCAGGCTTTACTAGGTGCGGAGCATGATATGAACCAGATATACTACTAGTCGATTTTTGACATCACAAAAAAGAACAGGCATGTAAACGATTTTCTGTACTTTCGAAAGAATGGACGTAAACCAAAGGAAAAGGTTCAGTAATTTCATTTGGACTTGACCAGTGGCCTCAACTATCAGCAATAACATTGTACGTTTTTCCAGATATCTGCTTAGCAAAAGTTTGTGTGTTAATATTGCATCACCAGCAGAAAACTGAATAACTGTTGTGTTGCTTGCTTGGGAAATGTTCGTCCTCACAAGCATATGACTGAACGAAGCATACCTATATACTATCAAACAAATGTTTGGATGCATCAAACATTATCTGTACAGTCAAAAATGGCAAGACAATCCCTAAAAAAAATGGCAAGACAAAGGACTCATGAAGCGGTTGCTACAGAACCCATCTTGAGATGAAACCACTTATTTGTAAGCAAAGGTACAGGACACAGCACACTAGCCGCTGAGGCTTTTCTATCAACCACCCCCTTCCTAAAAAAAGTGAAAGAAAACTCACACATAACTGGCAGTGACAAAAACTACTCACATCCATCTCAAATGACCAACAAAATGAAATGTGTACTGCGTATATGTGATTCCAATCATATCGTGCAGTTGTTTTTTCATGTAAAAATAGAGCGCCGATGATCTCCAACAATCATAATAGCAACAGACAGATCATATGCACCTGTAACTTATCACTCTAAAAAATTGGAGTGTGATGGTAGAAGTAATTGTCTAACTGGCTTTTCTGCCCAAGAGCATTCAAAGGATCAATTGCTGAATTGGCCAATTTCTGTTCTAAAATGAAATACCCCATGACTTTGGGGGGTGACTTCAATATTCTAAGATATAGTAGTGAGAAGAATACAAAGTTTATAAACAACAAATACATTGAGGTTTTTAACTTAATCATCAATTCCTATGAACTAAGGGAAGTGGTAATGCAAGGAGGCAAGTTCACCTGGAGTAATAGAATGAACCCTACTCTTGAAAAGCTTGATAGGGTGCTTATTTCAAAGGATTAGGAACAGGACTTCCCTCTATGCAATGTGAAGAAAATACCCAGATATAAATCTGACCATAACCCTCTGGTCTATGGTTCTGATCTGGAAAATAAAGTAGCATCAAGAGCCTTCTGCTTTGAAACTTCTTGGCTAAAACACCCTAGCTTCACTACTAAGATCAGGGACATTTGGGGAAAGGATAAAGGGCGTACCCAGTGCAGAGAGCTACCGCTCTGTGCGGGGTCTGGGGAAGGGTGTCAGTGGCAAGCCTTACCCTCACCTGTGCAATGCGAGGAGACCGCGACTCGAACCCGGGACCTTCCGGTCACATTTGGGGAAAGGATATAAAAGCTAAATCTATTGTGGATAAGTGGTAATCAAATGAACAGAATCCTTCTACAGCCATTGGCTCGCCGTAATCAAGGGCAAAGGATCTCTCTTTACGCTGATGATGTTGCCCTTTTCATAAGACCAGTAGAGAATGAAATGAATCTGACAATGAACATCCTTGCTTGCTTTGGTGAAGCTTCTGGTCTTCGTCTCGCCGTAATCAAGGGCAAAGGATCTCTCTTTACGCTGATGATGTTGCCCTTTTCATAAGACCAGTAGAGAATGAAATGAATCTGACAATGAACATCCTTGCTTGCTTTGGTGAAGCTTCTGGTCTTCAAACCGATATGCAAAAAAGTTGTGTGATACCAATTAGATGTGAACAAGATCAGCTACAAGTGGTCACCTCCACCCTGTCATGTGCCACAATGGATTTTCCTTGTACTTATTTGGGTTTACTTGTGTCAACCAAGAAATTAAGGAAAGATGATCTATTACTTGGATTGAAAAGATTGGCAATAAAATTCCTGAATGGCAAGCATCATAGATGAACTTAGCTGGTCGAACAGCTTGGGTTGGTTTTGTTCTCTCTCCTATAGCTATCTATGTGCTAATAGCAATAAACGTTCCCAAGTGGTTTATTCAGGCAGTAGATAAAATCTGCCGTGCTTTTCTTTGGAAGGGGCGAGAGAATGCCAATGGAGGTAATTTTTGGTAGCTTGGGATAAAGTGTAGCGACCACTGGACTTGGGAGGGCTGGGGATCCTTAGTCTTGAAATAATGAGCTGGTCATTACAGATACGATGGCTCTAGTTAAAGAAGACTGACCCTAATAGGCCATGGACTAGTCTTAATCTTTACATACATCATGTGAACAGTGCCAGATTAGATTAGATTACATTGGTTTGGTTTGTTAGGAAAGAAATAAGTCAGATTGATTCGGTTAGGATATTTCCTTAGGAGTCCAGTCAGTCATCTCTATAAAAGAGAGAACCCATATTGATTGTAATCAAGCAAGAAGAACCTACAAAGTAGTCTACGGATGAAAGGGTTTTTCCTGCTACCCAGCCAATCCATATCAATTGGTATCAAAGACCACTACCGAGGCTATCACCGTCCATGGCCGGCCTCGACACCGATCTTGCAACCATCTCTGCCAAGCTCGACCTCATCTTGGCCCAGTTCGTCACCCTCAACAAGTACCTTGACGCCCGTGAACCGGCGCTTGGAACATGCGTTCGGCATTGTCTCTGGGCCGCTGGTATCTCCGGCATCACCGACCCCTACCCCGACAATTATGACACCACCAGCGAAGGCCCATGCTGCCACGACTCCGGCAGCATCTTCCACACCCACCCTGATGCCCGTGCCTTCTGCATCTTCTGCGGCAATCCCGGCACCACCCACACCACTCGCATCTGCAGCACCACCTCCTCTGCAGGCATCACCTCCTTCGCCATAAACAAAGTCCCAGAATGCCGTACCAGCAGCCACTGTATATCTTCACCACTGGCAGCTTCGCCAACAGCCCCGCTGGCACATGCCATCACTCCTGCACCAACTTTGGCGGTCATGGTGACTGCATCAACGCCTCCTGCGCCATCGCCTGTTAGTCGCTGAATTCTCACTCTTGGTAGTAGGAGAATTCTTACTCTCATCGAGAGAGGATGACACTAGGAGTTGGGGCAATTTTCTTGTCTATTACTCACACAAGCTCACACAAATGCCATGCCAACCTGAGGGGTTGGGGTTACATATTTATAGGCTGCTAGCCAGCCAAGCATATGCCAAGATGCTAGTCTAAGATGCTAATATGCTGTCCTAGCTAAGATGCTGTCCTGTCCTAGCTAAGATGCTGTCCTCTAGTCTAAGATGCTGTCCTTTAAGATGCTGTCCTGCTGTCCTCTAGTCTAAGATGCTGTCCTAAAAGCAGAAAAACAGCCACAAGGACCATGTGAGCAGTACAGCCCCACAAAGACCACACATGAGACTTATCCATCATCGCCAACAGTTTTACTGGCAGCCACGGCAACACCTGCGGCACCCTTGGGAACAGTTCAGATTGCGAAGACTCCGGACTTGCTGTCCACGGCCCCTGCAACCTTGGCTGCGTCCCCAACCCAGGGGCTCATTCACCTGGGACCGTGATGGGACTAGCGGCCCTCTACTCAAAATTGCCGGAGTGGGGCCGTGAAGTCTAGGTGCGGTGCTCAGCATCGCAGCCGCCCAACCTGATGCTGCCTTCCGTGCTCGTGCTCCAGGCAGCTAACGGGGGCCCATCTCCACGAGCTGCCATGGCGACCTCCTTTAAGTCGCCATGAGCGTCATGTGGACAACATTCTCCAAGCAGCTTACTCATGGCCTGCAAGGTCTTAGGCTCCAGAAATCGCCACAGCTCAAGGATGAGCTGCCTTGAAGGGGTGGAGTAGTGTTATGGCAAGTGAAGCCGGCCCAGGGGCCCACGCGGCACTATAGTGCGTGAACAGTGGCGGATTAGATTAGATTAGATTAGTTTGGTTTGTTAGGAAAGAGATAAGTTAGATTAATTCGGTTAGGATATTTCCTTAGGAGTCAAGTCAGTCATCTCTATAAAAGAGAGAACCCGGTGTCAATTGTAATCAAGCAACAAGAACCTAAGAAATAGTCTATGGACAAAATGGTTCTTCCTGCTACCGCAGCCAATCCATATCAGGAGTATGTAAATAATGGTATTGTGATTCTGCATACGCAGATGACACAATCTTGTGCATTCAGGATGGCAAAGAACAAGCAACTAATCTCTAGTTCCTGTTACATTTGTATGAGTCCATGTCTGGGATTAAGATTAATTTTGCTAAAAGTGAAGCTATTATGATCAGCCAAGATGTTGATACGTCTTTGGAGTATGCCGACACCTTTAGTTGCGCTGTTGGGAAATGGCCTATAAAGTACCTAGGGGTCCCTGTGTCTAGATCCAGACTACACATAGCCGATTGGCTTCTTGATGAGAAATTGCTCAAACGGTTAGATGGTCGGCAAGGCAGCTCAATGTCCATTGGTAGGAGAACCACCCTTTTGGACTCATCTTTAAGTAACATGCCCACATATGCTATGTCTGTATGTACCTCTTTCCCATAACTACTACTGACAAGCTTGATAAAACCAGGAAGAAATCTTTGTGGCAAGGAGGGGGTTTGAGAAGAAAATACCACTTGGTTAGGTGGGAAACCATAACTAAACCCAAAGAAAAAGGGGGCTTGGGGGTCAAGGACTTAAGAAAGATGAACATTAGTCTGCTATGCAAATGGTGGTGGAAACTTGAAAATGATTTCTTTGGCAGGAGATTGTAAGGAAAAAGTATCTGAAAGGGAAATGCTTGCAACAAATTACCTACAAGGCTAATAATTCCCCTGTGTGGAATGAGATTTTAAAGTAAACCATGTCTACTTGATGGGTAGGTCAATGAAAGTTGGAAATGGCCGTATGTGTGATTCCGGTGCCGCTGTGTATCGGTGGGGCAGGGGTTCAGGGGTTTTCTCGACCTGCGTAAGGTCTTCTTCTTAATGCAATGCCCGGGGGCTGTCTTGTCCCCGCAGGTGGAGAGATATTTGGTGTGCAAATGTTTCTCTGAAGGACAAGTTTCCTGGCTTATATGACAAATGACATATGTACTACTCAAACTTGCTCAATGAATGAGCTATGTGGTAAAAACTGGAACAGTTTCGAAGGTGGTTAGATGAAGGCCTGCAAGACCAGCTTAGGTGCTTACATGACAGTATTTTCAGATACAAAGTAAATGACTCAAAAGATGTAGCTCGTTGGAACGGAGAAATCTGGGAAGTTTTCTGTCAAATCTGTCTACAAACACTTATGCAGTAGCTCTTATGATCCAAACAATAAGAAGGTTTGGAAGCCAAGCTCTGACTTTAAAAATAAAATTCTTTATGTGCCTAGTGTAGCAAAATGCAATTCTGACAAAGGATAACCTGGTTAAAAAGAAATGGAAAGGTGACGATTCTTGTGCCTTCTTTTCTTTGAGTGCCTGTTATCAAATATGGTTGGAGTCCCTGGCCTTTAGTTTTGGATATCTGTTAGACCTTCGTCCTTTATTCAGTATTGGATGTGGTTCAATTGGGTCCTCCCAAGAAGGAAAAAGGTTCATATGGTTGGTTTGGCTGCTGTTTGCTGAGCTATCTGGAAAACAAGGAATTCTATTTGCTTTGAAGGGAAGAGAGTAAAGGCTCCTACAGAAATTCTATGTTTGATATGTTCTATGCTGGTATATTGGACAGGGCTGCAGAATCAGGAGTCGGCGACTCAAATGGAGCATGGGGCGGCGATTCTGAAGTCGGTGGCTTTGAAATTCCACCAGCAAGTCCAACGGATGGGGGATGAATCTCAGGTGATCATCAAGATGTGATGGCTTCAGTTCTGCTGCTTGGAAGTCTGTCTTCGCTGGCCTGCTTGCCGTGGCAGCCTCATCTGGCTTGTAAGTCTGGTCGGTTTTGAGTGTTAGCTTCTTATGTCAGTGTTAAACATGTAGTTTACTCGGAGTGGCATAGTCACTGTCGTTTATGCTTTTGGTTGCTTCTGTGGCAAAGCCCTTTGTGCTTGGGCTGGAGGGCAAGTAATGGTCTTGGGTATAAATCTGGGTGATTGACTAACCTTGATTAAATTTGTTACTACCAGTAATGAAACTCGGATCGTCCGTTGTGGAAAACTGGCTTTTCAGCATTTGGTGGGTCGTCCGATCCTGCCAATAACCTATGTTCGGTTTATTAAGGGATACTCCGTACTCTAGTGTACGATGGTGAATTAGTGATGTACTCTAGTCTACGATGGTGAATTAGTGATGTACGCTAGTCTACGATAGTGAATTAGTGACTGCATCAAGAATCAACCTTGTTCCAAATTCCAAAAACCAATGTCTAATGTCTGACAACATAGAAGACCTATCTGTGAACACAAGAAAAGTATGGGTGTGTGTGGTTTCCTGCATATGCTCGAGCCTAGCCTGTAGGAAGCAGGGAGCGGTTGTTACGTTGAATGTACGTGGTACTAGGTCTGGCTCACAGGATACGAAAAGGTGCTACTCAACCACACTGAGCAGATACACAGAAATTGGCCATTTCTCTAGAGCCAGGTTCACCGAACGTGTGATTTAGTCTAATTATGCTATTAGTGTGTGATTAATGCATATTAAGTGACTTTAATTTCTTTTAAAGTAGACTAAGGCTTGGAAAGATAAAAGTAAAGGTTATTATAATATAATAACACAAAATAATTATAACCTCAACTCTTCATTTTGCACTTTCATCTCATGAAACATGTACACACGCAGGCAACCAAACAATATCTCTCCCCATCCAGGCTGAATACATATATGCAACCAGATAAAATGATCCTACATACACCTAACCTGGCTCGAGTGTGGCTCCCTGATACAAGACAAACTAAGGTCATGCGTCATGCATTGCACAGAACCAAACACAACCTACACCTCTGCTAGCGATTCTTGTTTCTGCTTTTCAAATACAACCTGAGAAATCTGTCAGTGTATTACCAAACAATCAAATTGAATTAAGCACAGCTCTGTGTAGTTCTACAGTGGCAAGAATCCTGCTTGTTAGGATCATGTAAAGAGTTGAGTTCCTAAGGTAATTTATAGATGATCCTACCTTGCTGACTAGTGTAAATTGAAAGCATAAAGATTGCTCAAGTAAAAAATAAAGTATGACTGAACTGAAAGCAGCCAAAGTAACAGAAGTAAGAATTATATGCAAGACAAATGCTGATTGTACTTCAGAACAAAATATTTATAGAAGTGAGAAGTGAACATACTGGCATATTCAGGCGCAAGATATCCAAATGTCCCTGCTACTCTTGTCATCATGGACTTATCTGTATCTTTCGCAAGCTTGACCAATCCAAAGTCCGAAACCTTGGCTCTTAAATCTTGATCCACCAATATGTTGGAAGGCTTCAGATCCCTATGGATGAAAGTCTCCTGCGCCAAACCATGCAAATATTCTATCCCCCGGGCAACATCCAAAGCTATTGTCATCCTTTGTGTCCATGTAAGAGGAGTATAACCACTCTGCTGAAGATCACACAAGTGCTCACGTAGTGTTCCTCCCGACATATATTCATAGACCAAGAGCCTCTCATTGCCATGCGTGCAGTACCCAAGCAATGCAACCAAGTGTCGATGTCTCACCTTCCTAAGAACATCAATCTCAGCCATGAATTCTTGCAGCCCTTTAGTTCCCATAGTGCCACTGTCACACCTCTTCACAGCAACCAGCTTGCCATTGAGAGTCCCCTTAAAAACCACCCCAAAGCCCCCTCTACCTAAGATGTAGTCCTCATCAAAGTTGTTTGTGGCCTTTAGTAGCACACTCATCGGTAATTGCATCCCATGGGACTCGAAGAGGTCAGCAATGTTTGTGCTGTCAGCACTTGAATGACTGTAAAGCTGAGTTGGGCCTACAGAACCACTTATGTTGCTATGGCCATTTGTCCCAACTACCTGAATCTTCATCATCTCAGATTCACCAGAAGGGCTCTTTGTTGAGACAGGACTGAACTTGTCCAC